AAAAAAAAAATACTTCTTAATGTGCATTCCACGTTTGTTTGTTTTGGCATTCACTTTGAGAGTATCGTGAGTTGGAAAAGATTGGAAACTTGAATGTTGTAAATTATAAAAAAAATTGTAAATTACTGTAACAGGAGCGAGAGCGTAAATGAACTTATGAATGTTACGCCAAAAGTATATTCCGTCTTTTTCGTGGCAGCAATTTTTCTGTAAAAATTTTGCTGATTATTTGCTATGTGCTCATGTATTTGGTTTGTAAATATCGTTAAAAAAATTTTTTTGGCTTTGTGAACCATCAAAATAAAAATATAAAAATATGTTGAAAATAACAAGCAGTGTTTTAATTTTACATAAAAACTTGGACTAATTGAACTTGGTTATTAACTCTGTGTGTGAGTGTGTGAAAACAACAACTTTATGCAACTGTCACTGGTCGAATATTTTGATACACGTTGTTTATAATGCTTATATACTTCTTCTTGAAAACAATATTACTTTTTATGTTTTTTATATATTAATTTCCAATAGATATCGCTAATTTGTTTAGTGGAAAAGTTATGGAAATAGTAGCAGTGACGGAAGAAAAAAAAAATTATTGCCGCGCCTCTTCACCAAACCTGCAAGACCAACCATCCCAACCTGAAACCATCCGAGTATTATTCTATACGAAGAAATTCAAAACTCATTCAAACAGCAAATAATATTTTCCGATCCATAATTAGTGCACAAGGAAATATGTCCAGCCACCGCGCGTCAAACCCTTCGCACCGAGGAGCGTCTACTGTCGCGCGAAAAATCCCATAGATACGAAAACAACGTACCATTTATCGTATCAGAATGAGGACCAAGTCCGCCAAGCTCCCGTAAAGCCAATAAAGCCCGTCAACAGCATCAGTTTGCCCCAGGACAAGCTGCCGAGCGACACAACGAACAAATTAAGTTATCTGCCGGTATGCGGGATTTACAAGGCAGAGCCCATCCTTCCTCGCCCAAGGTTTGCATGTGGAAACGTTTCGGTTGAAAGAAGAAAAGAAAGAAAAAAACGCAATTAATTCCCACTGTCGACAGACTGCGCCCGCAGCAGGGCACCATGGAGTGCCTGACCACGATTAGAAAGGACTTTGAGCCGAAATACGCGTCTCGGCCGGAAATGATAGTACCTTGCGGCCAAATAAGGACGAGCAAGGGCGCCTTCAGCGGAAAAACGACCACTTTGCTGTCGTACATGAACCCAGGCCCGGTAGAGGCGGTCCCGAGTTACAGGCCCAAGATGAGGTACTGCCAGCCGTCCCAGCCCACTGCCACGGAGACCACGCAAAAACTGAGCTACGTACCCCACGAGATGGCCAAGAAGGAAAAATACCCCTGGGCTCGAAAACCCGTCTACAGGTGAGTCGAAAAAGATGTGGTCGAACGAGAGAGCCAGCGAAATTAACGTGGTGCGTATATAGAGCCCCGGAAGTCGCGATGCCCGGCGAAACGACGTACAAAAAAACCTACCTCGAGAGCAAGTCCCTGCAGAGGGATCTGCCGATACTGCCAAAGGACGCGGGCGTACTGCCGAGCGGGACGGAGTTTGTCAACGACACGGTTTACAGGGAGAGCTTTCTACCCGCGTCCGCGGAACCGGTGGCTCCGTTCCTCCCGAGTCAAAACATCACCCTGTCCGACAAGAGAATGACTTGCGTCACCACAAACGAGGTAGGGGGAAAAACGCCGCGTTGGTGCACATATGGTACAAAATGAAATTACAATGAGAGTCGATCGGTCGCCGAGAAGCTGAGCTACAAAGCCGTCGGGGGCGAGAGGCGGAAACCGATAATGCCGCGCAGTAAGAAAATACTGTGCAACGCGGGCTCGATGCAGAACGAGACGACCAATCGGGAGGCCTTTGGCCCGAAAATCGCTCAGCCTCCCAAGGCGATCAAGCCCCGCGGGAACATTCACTCGCGCGATCAATCCCTGATGGAGACCAAGACAGTGACGGCCCTGTCGTTCGCCAAGCCCGGCCCCGTTCCTCGGCTGCAGAACTACAAGCCGATCGCGAAATACTGCAAGTACGCACGAATCAGCAGATGTGTACTCTCTGTATTATATAGACACTGTTTCGAAAAGTATTGGGATGAATGGGGGGAGGTGCGGGTAAACCGATTTCCATGATTTGCAGACCAGATAGCAAGATAGAGGATGAGACGATCAGTAAGATGTCGTACCCGCGGTGGTCGATCGGGCCGAAGGAGGAGCTGCCTTGGGCCCAGAAAGGGCGGTACAAGTCGCCGAAGGACGCGATGCCGACTTGTACGGTGTATCACATGAGCTTCCCGGCCCCGGGGTACTACGTCGAGGAGTCCGAAGGCTGTGAATCCACCAAACCTTGAAGTTGCAAGCTGACGGACTTACAACATCAATCATTACAATATTATTATTCATCATCACATTTATTTTTTTTATTTATTTATGTTCTTTCTTCCTTTACTCTCTGAAACTCATGTGTTGTATTTACTTTTTTTCCGCTGACGATTTAAATTATACCTGGTGGATGAAATAATTTTTCTTTCATTAAAATTGCTTGGTTGTTTCAAGAACAAAAAATGTGGATGGGCTGATAATAAAGAAGTAACTGAATCATCGACTTACTGACCTCTTATTAATTTTTCTCATCATTTAAACAAAACAAATAATCTAGGGACGATACACGTGCACTAAATACATTCATTAGCAAGTACATGGTTTTTCGTGGCGATATTGCGGTACCCCTTATTTTTCATTTATAATATCATCTCCCAACTTTCCGTCTATTGTATATGCATGAATACTAAATAACTACGATATCTACGATATCTGCTTTGCAAAAATTTAAAAATTTGAAATGATAAGTATGAGGAATAAAAAAAAAAAAAAAAAAAAACTAATGGTGTCAATTTTTTCGCCGTCATACACCTACAAACTGTGAGCACCAAAATATACGGTGCAAAGTTTCAACTGAATTGATTGCTTAGATGGTATTTGCAAACCATATTTTTCAGTTTTTACATAAAAATTATTTTAATTGAATTATTTTGGAATAGAGAGGATGGATATGCGTTCATCATGAAAAAAGTAACAATATTTGGATTTCTCTACGTTAAATTTTTTTATTTCTTTGTTTATTTATTTTTTTTATTCAAACGCAACTGATCCGTGCACAAGTATTACAGTACATGTTCATTTACACATAAATCGAGTTTTAATGCAGAACTCATGTATATATTCAATATTCTCATAGGATTCGTTGTGTACTTGAAAAGTAGAGCAAACAATGAATTTTTCCGTCGCCAAAAATAATAATAAGTTTGAATCCTTTATAACAAAGCCATTTTTATATAATACTTTTGTTATTGGGTGAGTATATATATACACGGCGTATTTCAGTTGACGAATTCGTTAATAGCTCTCAAAGTTTAATGAGCTTGCCTTTAAACAGTGCGATACCGATATACTTGACTTATTTTTTATATGACTTGCGGGAAAAACGTGTGTATAATAGTGTATAACAAAGCTTTGCAATTATCGTCCCGAATTATATTGCACGTAACATGGGATTCTACTTTTTTTTTTTTTTTTTTTTTTTTCAAGAAAACTCTACCGTTACACAGACACTTATCTTCGCTCTTCTTCAAGTCAAATTGTTCATTAGCACGATTATAACTACGAATTTGAAAAATTTAGTTTAAAAACTAAAAAAAGCTTTAGATAACTCTATCTACTGAAACATAATTATGGTTTCCCTCTGACGATTTGCAAACCACTCAACTCTTACATTATTTACTTACTTAAATTTTTCGGTTCAGAGCCTCTAGGCTTTGATTTATTTGTTAAGTAAACAGTGCGAGTTGTATTGTACTGTACATACAAACCCAATACCCACGATTTCTCCTTTACCATCATTACGTTTGTTTATTATTCTTTTTTGTTTAAATGCACAACCAAAAATTCTTAACATTACCAACAGGCATTTGTAAAATTTATATAACAAAGTAAACGCTAGAGTTTAATGTTTGTTCGTTGCCTATTTTATAATTTCAAGAGATAAAAAATTCCACCTAAGGCACATCCACGTTCTTTCAACATAATTGCACTGCACGATTAGATAAAAAAATGTATTTTCCCTTGTGATTTCTATAAATCTTACTTCTATTTCATTACAATAGTTTTCATAGTAACAAGAAAACAAATCTAAATTCTCTTAAAATTCACCAAGTAGTAAATTATGTTCTGCAGCTGTTTAACTATGAATATGTAAACACATATTCTGTATGTACATACATTAACACGCGGATGTTTTATTGACTACACGTAAAAATACAGCCATGTTTCGTTAAACATCAATTTTAAATAGTCAAACTATTAATCATCATACATGTATATAATATATAAACTGATATTTTTACGTTATTCATGTCGTAATTATCTTATTTGTGACACATGCATGTTGATGTAAATCATTAGAGTTTTTTACATTAAATCTGCGCGTAATAAATATATGATTTCACGAGTCGACGCGAAAGAAATAAAATATAACTCATTAGATTAACGTCAATTAGCTAAAATTAAATCACATTAGCAACCGCGAAAAAAAATTCTTATTACAATAAAACTAAAATAAAACAAACGCTTTTGTTGTTGTTGTTGTTTTAATATAGATTTTATGATGAGCGAAAAAGAATTCCCCGAGTAAACCTCAGTAAATATTGCACGTTTCTCAGGTAATAAGCAAAGTCTTTACGCTCGAGGTTCGACTAACAAAACTGAAAAATTCTATTAGGTTTCGTTAAATATTACAAATAAAGCACACTTATGTTTTAACAACAGACACAATTCTCTTTTTTTTTATTTGGCATGAGTATTAAAATGCCATTCACGTGGTAAATTAATTTGTAAGGATATAATTTTCTACCGAGACTCTAATCTGCCAAGTTGTAGATTAAGGAGGAAAAAAAAAAAAAAAAAAAATTCGATGACTCGAGTACATAGCATAGATGCAGAAAAAGATAAGAGCAATGCTTCCTCAATGTTTTTTCTGTAAACTATGATCAAGGACGAACACATGAGCTTCAACAAATATATACTGTAATCATTACGAAAAATGCTTCTTAATAAAATAGTCTGATTGATAATAGTCCCGAAAACGGTTTCTGTCTAATCTCATTTATGATCACCCATTGGCTGGCTAAGCCATACGATCGCGAGCTCGCCTACTTTACAGTGTTCTTATTTTTTAGTACACTTACTGAGGCTTGGCATTGTACGGCTGCATGAACTCGGAGAAATTTCCAAAGTTGTTAAGCTGGTCCAAGTTGAGGTTTTCATCGATGGACGACAGATCGTTGTGGCCCATCAGCTCGACGTAGTCCATATCCGCATTTGTCCGTACTGACTGGCTGAGGCCTGGAGCGTAGCTATTGCAACAAAAATAAAACACACAACTCCAATCACTGGCAATTCTCGATTATAAGGAACTTTTTTTTTCTTTCTTGTCCTTTTTTAGTTTCAAATGATATTTTATTCAAGCAGAGCGTACATGGGAGCAAAGAAATGAAATTAAAAAAGTGAGTGGTCAACTACTTGCGTGGGTTCCAAGATTCCCGTGACCGATATTAATTTAGCCGAGTAGCCGGTACAACGCGACTTTACGTCTGCAAGCAACCACAAGTTTAAGCACAACAATCTACCAGCTAATTGTGAGACGAATCGGTAAATTTATGCCAACTGTGCTGCGAATGACAAAAATTTTTCTCCGTTTATTGAATAACATAAAAATTTGAAAGAAGTTGATTTCACATCAAAGTAGGTAAATAACGCGGTCATTAAACACCAAGTCCAAAGCTAAGACAACTTATCATTTGCAATAACAAGATTAGTAAATGAATCCATCAAGTCCAACAAAAGTTATAGAAATAGCTCGATGTTGCCGATGTATTAGGTGATTCGAGATGAGCTTTGTAAATAAATTATTTTGGATCGTTTATCTCTACTCGATTGCCAGTCAAGATTTGAGTAACGAGTAGTGATTGGAGTTGCGTTTTATTTTTATCTGCAGTGAGCGTATTTTTAATATTTGATTGAAATACCAATGATATACATATATCTGTTGGTTAAAAAAGTGTGGTTGTACCGGCTTGCTCCAGGCCTGTGCCTCATTTATCATTTAATGATTCGTCGTGAAACAAACATTGTAAATCCGAATTGACTTTTTTTCTTATATGCATGAGATTGTAATTGGAAACGGAAAATCAGACGATGACGATAATGAATTTATAGGATAGAAAATTGATTCGTCAAGGTGATGTTGTAAAAATGATGTTTTAGGTTCTTGAATGTGATTTAAGTTGGCTGTCCAACTGATGGAATTTATAAAAATTGACGTAAATTTCTAGGCTCTTGATAAATTAGTACTTCGATATTGATATTTTTGGTCTCATTGTAAAAATTTATTTAACGTTGATAATAAGATATATTCAGCTTATAAATTATAAAAATTAATTTAAGTAAACATTTTTTTTTCATTTTGAAAATAAAATTAAACCGGAAATAATTTTATATTATAATCACAGTTCAAAGTTTCTTATTTTCCATAGAACTTTTAATCAGATAAATGGAAAATACAAGTCTAAGAAAAAATAACTGTTATTAACGAATAGTCATAAACGTGTGATCGAACACAATTTTCATAAAAAATTTGGTTTTTGAAATGACAATAACCTAAAATATTGTCGATTTGTTTAATAATTTTAGAAAAGTGTAAATATTTAATAAAAATCCATACAAAATTGATGATTCCATAATCCATGGCTATGAAAAATGCGTGGGAGTATACTTACATTTACAAAAAAAAAAAACCATCATAAGTGAGAGAATACTGATACAGTACTTGGATAAATGTTTATAGTTATGAAGTTGCGCAAAGTTTTCATCACTATATAAAACGAATAAATTTTGAGATCGTTTGGTTATTAAACTATTTTTGCCAACATCTCATTCAAAAAATTTTCCATACATCAAGGGATGTTTAAAAATATTTCACTCAAATAGATAAAATTTAAAAACATGTTAAAGTATACATATGACTTTACTAATAAATCATTGCTTTTGTAATAAATCGAAAATTCACTCGCTCGACAAGTGTCTCTCGATACCTTAAATTAAAAATATTTTTAAACAAGACAAAAAATCTAACCAACAAAGTCCATATGTCACTGTTGGGAGCATCAAAATAAAATTTCACACAACCAGCTGCACGTTCATCAAGCTGGTTGGGTAAATTTGGAAAGATTAGCACCTGATGTCGCATTCAATGCTTTGAAAGCAAACATATCTTTCGTCACATTTAAATTAAAATGTCATTCGAGAAGAACTTTAGCGCATCTTCATATGTACCCATGATAATCAGACATTCAGTTATGCATATGTAAGGGGCTCATTTTTGTTTCTGTTTTTTTTTTTTTTTTTTTTTTTTTTTTCATATTTTTCTTTCCTAGTATTTCAGTTCTTAGATCCAGGACACTGACCTAGAGGCAACGGATGGCGTATCTCTCGTAATAGATGAATCCGGACTGTGAGCCTGAAACATGTTAGGTGTTGAGGGATAGCTGCTTCCAGGACCACCTTGCCCGTTGCCGATACCAATGACAGAAGAATGCGATGGCGTCTGACTACCCATGACGGGTGCGGACCAGCCTGGAACGTGTGTGACCAGGAATGGCTTCACGTACCCATTGGGGCAAGACTGGCTTTCTACTTTAGAAAATAAAATTGGCTAAATTAATCAAAAGTAGTACGCTTTTATATTAATAAACACAATTAATATGCTCATTACTAGGACAAGAAGTGTTACTATAATACACATAAAATAATATGCCCGACAAATGTCCATTTTTAAGCTATGCAAGCTTGCATTTCGAGCTCTGTACTAAAATTAAAAAAAAAAAAAAAAAGTAGACTCTGTACGACGATTTTGGAGCCTTGAAAAATTGAAAGTATATAACACAGCATGGGGGAAACGGTAAGAAATTACATGCCAGACCTCATTTATATTTTCTTCAAGGTTAGAATAATATAATAAAGTTTTCCGTCAAGGTAGGTAAAAAATTATTAAAAAAACATTTATTATTAATATTTACCTGTATATGGTGTATAATATTTTGAGAAAGTTGGATCTTTCGGCAAATCAGGATATAGATAAGCCAAATGATGCAAATCTGAAAGTCTATCGGCTAAACTTCGTATCGCAAAATCTTTACTCGTGAATGGCTGCAGCATGAAAACTTCTGGACTTTGTTCTGTAAATAGTAAAAAAAATCATCATGAGTGTTTTAGTCCGAGCCAACAGTGGACTACCGTTAAAGCATCAAATGACCTCCAACCCAAGCAATTGTAACACCACCGAGTTCAGAATCCGAAAACCTCATAAGGAAAGTTCCATTTGGGCAATTCGACAACATTTCTTCGGCCTGTTTTTTCCGCACAAAGCCTAGAATGTATCCGTCGTTCCAAGGTCCACGTAAATGTTCGCGTGTAAGCTTCATGACGGAATAAAACCATTCCCAAAAAGTAAAATTCCTTTCTGGCAAAGGTTCCTTACAAAATTGTGCCCAACTTAACAACAAATTTGTATAATCCTGGCAATTCGAGCCATTACTGCGGAACGCTTTTTCAGCTAGGAACCGCAAGTTGTCGTCAGTGAGCGCTCGATTGGTCGCTGCCTTAAACTTGACGTTAAGAGCCTCGGCTACTTGATGCCATGGCACTTTCTCCGGTACTGCGAATGGCACCCGACCTGGTTCCGCAAAAGCATTGTCCCACGTCACGGTCGCCCATGCATGAGGCTCTTGGTTGCCGTGTACTATGACCACAACGGGCAAACTCAGCGTCCATACCTAACGGTAAAATTTATTATAAATTTTTGTAAGAAACTTGCATGGACAAGTGGTAAAATAAAAATTATTTTGACAATGTTTCGAACCTGGAAGACGAGCTCACCACCACCTACGCTGAATTGCGACTGAAAAAGAAGAGAGAACTTTTCGTCCATGACGGACTCGGTTCCCTTCTTCTCAGCTCGCTTAATTTTCTTGAGTTGCATATTGCGAAAACTGACAGAGAGTTGCCGCGTAGCTTGATGGTACTCCATGGTGCCAGTATTGTTCAAAATTTCACCGCTAGCCTCACCTTTGTTGGCCATTTTGTCACTTTTGAGGAGCGAATTTGCCTGAGCTTCACTGATGATGCTGACTTTCACTTGTGGTGGTGTCATGTGCACGTTGAGCTTGCCACCCACGAGCAATCTGACAGTGCTCGTGAAACGAGTATTCGTTTTCATTACCTGCGGTGGCTGTTTTTCAATGATGAAAGTGCTTGTTACCAAAGAGCTAAGTAGCTGCGTGACTTGAGCATTCAAGTTTGGTAGTATGTCCTGAACTCCAGCAGGTTCGAGTGTAAATCTTTGCTTGAGGCGTTCAACTTCTTTGACCTGCTGTCGATTTAACCAAATTAACTCGGCTAGAGTTTCGCACCACTCCTGAATGGCATCTAAATTATTTATGAAATTGGCACCATTTCCTGCCAACTGTTGATCTCTTTTCCACCTGTATTGGTACAAAATTTTTTTTTTAATTGAATAGCTCTAGGAGAAATATTAAAAATATAGTAGTAAATACAAAATAAAAAGGTAAAACTCATGAAATAAAAAATAGAAAAATTCAAGTTAATTATTATATACCTGATAAGCTCGTCATCGAGAATACGAGCTTGCAATACGTGAAGCTTGCTTATAGTATCTTTTAATTTTTCAGCGAGTGTCAGACGCAATTGCAGCAAAGTCGTCACCTTGTGATTCAAATGCTGTTCTTGTTGTTCTTTTTGCCGACGAATTTTTTTCTCAATGTCGATAGTGTGCTGCGTTTGTGGTTGTGAAGAAATACTTTGTAAGTGAACATTCAGCTTTGTACACTCGTGATAGGCAAGAGCAAAAGACTCTTGCTCTTGCTCCATTTTTCGCAAGTCCTCGCCTGTCTCTTGAGTTCTGCGCCTCAGGGCCTCCAATTGCTGGGCAATTTCGGCTACCGAGTCACCCATCATCAACCCTATTCTGCTGCCAGGCATGTTCATCAGAACACTGCCAGGTTGCTCAATCTGAGATACGAGGTTTAGTTCCGTAGCCAGACAATGTCTTATTATTTTGAAGAGACTCGTCGGATTAGGGCTGTACCTTTGCTATAAGAATTTTAGAGGATTTTACAGTCGATTCCAAAAAAGATTTCAAGTAATAATTTAGTAACTCAAACTTACGCGAAAATTCTTGGCTGCTTCGATTAGCTTTAATTTAGTCAAGAAAAGATCTTCCGTATTTAATGTAGATGCTTTGGTTTCCAACTCTTGTATAAAAGATTCCACTAGATTGGCGATATACTGCTCACATTGCGGATTGTCTGGTTCGATATCAGCCCTGAAATCATTTTAAAAATAGATTTATTTTTACAGAAAGAGATTTTTTTTTCTTTTTTTTTCCCAACTTTCACTAATGCCACTCTAAACAAGACATACCACATTTTTTCTTCGATCCATGTCGATAAGAAATGACGAACTTCGATCGGAAAATGTTCTCCATAGACCGACCGCACTTTTTGCAGCGCCTCGGGAGGCAATTGTTGGGCTTTGGCCCACAGAGCCATCTTTACGAATTTTTATAATTCTGGCTGAAAAAAATTTCAATTACGTTTAAAGGGTAACATTAAATTATTCAATTTGATTCAAAGAGTATTGACGCATGACTATAAAGAAGTGTAATTGTGGCCTGCTAAAGTACTATTATTGTGAACACTTTTTTTTTAAGCCTAATTACTTTTTAGTAGTTGTATATGGGATATCTGCAAATATTTATTATTTACAATTTAATCGTTGATACAAGCTGTTTATGAATCAGCTCAGTTTTAAAACAATATTAGCATAATAATGCAAGATTTAAGCGCCAATGAAAAATTAATTATCAACACAAGTAAATTTCTAGATAAACTTTGATGATGTAAGTATGGGTAATTGATGCATTGATTCAAACAGCTCGATTTCGATCGAATAAAGAAATCTTAATTTAAATTGACGCGAACGAATTCTAGAACCCTATGTTCGAAATGCAGATTTATAAATGTACTTATTGCGCATACACGCTTGAGCGAGCAATGTTCACATACACACCCACACACACACACACACACACACACACGCGCGCAGCAGACACGAGCTCGAATACTTTGAAAAAAAAAAAAAAAAAAAAAAAATTGTGTATTGCGAAATACTGATTGGGGTGCAGTAAAAAGAAAATCAGAACAATGCAAGAAGAAAAAAGGAGCAGCACACGAAATTACATACCGCCACTCGCTAGAGAGAGCACAAAACTCCGAAATCGAAACGCTTCCGAGAATCGGCTTGAAAATTGAGATGTATATAAACTAAGGCACTCACGCGCGCTTCTTTTTTTTTTTTTTTTTTCAGTGCAAGTACGTAGCAAAACCGGGTGTTGTAAAAATTTTTTTCATTTATTCGCTGTCTTCCTTCTTGCAGTGTCATACATGCACATCAGCGAAACAGAATACTCAACTTTTTTTGTTTTACATTGCCTCGAAAAAATGATTATAATACATGGTATACTTTAATAACTCGGCAGAATGTGCGAAAATCGGCAGCGCGCGGAGGCAAGTGACGCGTGTAGCAAATACCAATAGCATTACGAAGAAAAATACAGATGTATGTGTTATATACACTGTTACAGCAGCAAATAAGCTATTCGAGGGAGAGAGTGAGTATATATAAGTATAATGTAAGCGAGAGTGGACGGTGTACTTACTTAAGTGTGCAGAATAAAGGAGTCGTCGGAGTCGGCATTCGGCAAGCGAAAAGAGTATATGAAAAGGAGGGGGAGAGGAGGGCTAAGGAATACGATCGTGTAAAAACTGGAGAATCTCGTACACGTATACCTGTATGGTATGGTATGTACTACGCACGTGCATGTATCATGCGCGTATATTTATATATATATCCATGTACTTGAGTATCGAAAGATTGGAGCAAGCTCAATGTATGTCATTGTATGTACTTCTTGCGCGACCGTGCCAAGTGTAATTTTCAATTTTTCTTTAATAAGCTCACTCCTTCTTCGAAAAAAATTTACAAGTAATGATAGTAGTAGGTTCAGATATGCGTTGCGCGTGAACGTGTGAACTGCATACGTGTGATGGATAATTAGCAGATAAGAACAAAATGAAGGTGAAAGGGAGGAAAACAGTTCTCCATTGCCGGCAATGTATATTTATTTATATATACAGTCATCGGCTTCCATACTCACGACTCACCCATCAGGAGAGCGAGCACCGAGCACGCACGCGCCAACATCACGCACAACTCGCACACGTTATACGTACAGATATAGATAAATGTGTATATATACATAAATATATTCTTATCTATTTCTCTCTTTTCCGCTTTCCCTATCCGTATGTATATCTATAACATCGTTCAAGCATATTTCGTGTTTGTTCCTCGACTTGCGGCTCTATTTTCAGCAGCGCGCCCACGAATAAACGAATGCAAACAAACAGAGCCCGCATTTATGTATTATACACTAGACTAGGTGTTTTACCGCGAGAGAAGAGACAGGCTCGAATGAACAAGAACCGGTCGGACAATAAACGATCGAATATGAAAAACGAGCTCTTGATATGTAAGTACAATGTAAGCAACAAAAGTGACGACTCACCTCTTTACTGGCGATAACCTTAGTTCCGTAAGCGAGGACTAAGAAAGGAAAATCCGTGGTCTCGTCGTATCGGACGCTTGGAGCGCCCTTGGACCTCTTTACCTCCTGTTGACCAAAACTTCCGGCCTATTACTGCCGCCGGAGAGATGCAATGAACCAAAGTACCTAATGATGGATCGATATCGATCGCCGTCCGACGACTCTGAACTGCAAATGATAAGTCGTCGACTTTTGGCGCGCGCACGCATACAACAACAATCCGTACAATAACGCCGCGTAGTGTCAATATTGAAACCTATGCTCCCAGTTTTCGACGTCGTTGACTCTACGGCAATAGACTCAATTCTAATGAGGCACGCGTACTTATAAGTGGACAAATGGAATCCAGAAGCTCGGAGACGTAAGCGGATCGTCTGCTTCTTCCAGCCCATCCGAGGAGGGTTGATTCGTTGACTGATGACGGCGACACGAAAGAGAGCAAACGCTGCAAACTTGCAAAGTGAGCCAGAGGGGAAGAAACACGCGGAGAAAGTGAGGCGACGTATCTCTTTCTCTCTTGGTTGGTAGGTAAGTTATACGTATATTGTAGGTATATTTGTCCGAGTCCGTTCTCTCGGCGCGCGTGTGACTGCGAGAATATCTCGCAAGTTTCAAGTATCAACTGATGGGAGTAGGTATAGTACTGCACACGGGAGCGGGAGCTATCTCTACGCCTGCCTGCGCTAGACCTGATGTTTGTATGCTAACCAAGGGGAAAAGAGAGAGAGCTACCGCCAGCAGCAGCGTATTGGAGTGTGCGGCCCAGGCCGCGCGCGCGGCGGGAAGGAACCGATTCTCAGAATTTCGTATCGTAAACGGCAGCGCCGCTCCAGGGTGGGAGTGCACCACGTGACCGAGAGAAACAAATGCGCCTCTCTGGCCAAATCCACAACGACGTTGCATTTTTTTCCCTGATGTACTATATAAAAGTAGATGCTGCGTTATGTATAGCCCTTGATTATCATCACTTTATTGCGAGTGAGAGTCAAAATTAATGTCAATGTGTTTCGTCCCACCCGCACGATATATGCAGTTCACTGAATATCGTGATCCTTATACTTGGAATTTGGAATACTCAATGCACATAAATAAAAAAAATATACGTTTGAGCGCACTTACGCCAACACAGTCATACTATATGTCTCTCTCTCTTGCAGTTTGTTTGAATACATATTGTAGTTTCTGCATTAAAAACTAAATTTCAATGGCCAATGCACTCCAAAATTTTCGAGTAGCAAGTAGATTGACGTTTGCTTTAAATTCATTGTTGCTCGAACTGAAGGTGATAAGAATATATATATAGATATATATATATATATGTATATATTTCACCTTATCGCCCTTGGCTTGGCGTATGAATATAGCTTGGAAGGAGTGAGAGAGAACAAACATGAGAGGTAGTTACTGATTGATGGTCAATTACCACCAATGAGATAAACATGCGCTCGTCCACCATTTGTTGCAACGTACAAAATAATATACATGTATGTATATTCCTAAAAGCTTTTGCAACAAATTGCGCAGTTCACTGGATATGTATTAATTTATGCTATGTTGTAAACAATAATGCAACCACGTAATCAGTAGGTAGAAGAAAAAAAATGCTTTTTTCGGTAAATGTGGGGAAAAACACATAATCTGACATTTTTTACGTAGGTACCACAGGTACGATACGGTACCTACATTTTTTGACCGTGGGACGCTCGTTTTTTAGCTTCCGCTAAAATGCTCTGTGTCCGGAGACATTAATTCAAACACGAGAGAGCGCTGTAGGCTCTTGAAAATCTCCCAATTTATATTGCGTCCTTTGTGTCGTTATGTATACGATTATTGGATCTCTTTTATAACAACACTAAAATCCTTAAAAAGTTGTTGCCCTGTGAGTTCGAATGTTGTTTACGTTGAGAAAAGAAAAAAACAAAAAACACTAAAAAACTTTAAACATCGGTGTCTTTTCGTGCCAGTTTTAGCAGCCAGATAGCTACCTTGAGAACATCCGGAAAAAACATCTGGCAGCCGAATGATGCAAATTTGGTTCTCTGTACCATTAGATGAAAGCTAAGTATCTATTATTGTTTGGCTTACAACTTGTTTTTCCCACAAACATTATCGATAAAGCTTCTCATGACTTCTATCCCTCGTACTCGGTTAAATCTTACATTTTCAGTTAAAGTTTATCTTTTCTTTCTCCTCAATTACAGTACTTAATTACAGTATTTGGAAATCACACAAACTGGAGTTTTCAAAAGTCTTACATTTAGTACAGATAAAAAAAAATACATTTACGGGTTGAAATAATTCTGAATTGTAATGGTTGTGAAAAAAATGCAATCGGTGCTGATAAAATTTTGTCTTAAACTAAAAAATTTTCAAAGTACAGGGATTGTCGAGTTTTTCCGTGTCGTTAAGCAGTAATTAACGCCCTGCGTACATCGGCCACGGATTGTTTCTGTACATAAACACAATCTAACCGATAAGCTTCCGTTAATTATTAATTAATGCTCGTAACAGTTGGTCTCCTTTGTTCCTTTATCTAATATTGTTTCGTGATATAATTGTTACTTATATATTATATACGGGCACGCGTATCCACACACGGACGTGCGCTGCAATCTCGGTAATCTTTTTATCGATATCGATCACTTCAAAGTCAATCCCACGTAAATTATTTCCGTTAGGAAAAAAATCAATGCAGCCATTCTCGAAAGAGCCCATGGATTAGGTAGTATATCATTCAACCGGGTGTGCAATTAAATACTTATCATATGATTCTTACTGTTTATGTTGTTAAATTAACTGCATAACTGTTGCGTAGTGAGCTTAAACACGTAACGCATGCGCATTCGCGTACGAAAAAATCGGAGGGAGCATCGCTGCGGCGGGGTGGGATAAATAGCATGATCGAAAAAGAATGCAATAATATAAGGTGTGTGTTTTTGTAATACATGGGAAACCCTTCTGCGACTCTTCAAAATCGACACCATATGTATCAATACATCTCAAACAGGGATTTTTTTTTATTCATCAAAATGTTGGTGACTTGAAATGCGTAGGAATCAATCAAGCATCGAAGTGGTAAAGAAAGAAGAAAAAGTCGTCGGGAGCTTCTTATAGCAAATGCGCTATACTTATATACGCAAAGATGTAGAAAAGAGGAGAGATTGGTATTGGTATGGGAGGAGGAGCAGGATGTCAGGGGAGGGAAACGAGAGCGAGAGACGAGATCATTTTCAAGGAATGACGAGCGACAATTATTCGCCGCCTGCGCGCCGACTGCACATTGTATTGGGAATAGGTCCCCGTTGTCTCAGTTCTTCCCAATATAGGTACACATTTTTCGCATACTCGTGCACATGCACGCATACACCTTATACATTTGGGGTTCACGTATACAAATTACATTGACAGGTAATTTATTTATCTACGCGCGCATCCATACGAAACACTATTTGCATTACAATTATATATATAGTGTGTGTGTGTGTGTGTGTGTTCTGTTCATAGAGAAGGAAAAAATAAAGTTTCCCTATTTCTGCAGTTTTTTCCCGTTCATTTAAATAAGTAACACGTCATCCTCCTGCCCCTGCTTGCTTCACCTGCTGTGCGTAACGCGGAAAAAAGTGAGCTGCGCGTATACTTATTATTTGTTTTTGTGACAACTAAAGAACCCCGTACTTATAAGGTCATCCTTCATGATCATGAAATAATAACTTGAAATTTTTTGGGAGAGGTGATCGAGTGAGGTTGAAATTTGTCCATCTCTTTGGTAAAATACTTTTTTTTTTTATTGTGTATGACAATAATACATTTGCGAAACTATTAATTTAGTTGGCACAAATCTTTAATAAATTATAATTTGATATTTATACCTACAAGTTATGTTTCATGAATCTCATCAACGTAAATACTTTTAGTAATATCAATTTTTTATTAATTCCATACCAAAACGTTTGGTTGAAATACACCAAAGTCCAGTTTTGCCCGCCAAGCGTGCGCAGCCTTTCGTATGTATTCATTAAAACAACGATGCTATTATATAGATTAAGCAACAGTTATATAAAAATTCATAAAAATTAAAAATGCTTTTGTTAAGGATTTTTTAAAATTTATACGAGTCAACATGTAAAATACTGAACAGTTTCTTACTTCTTGAAATAGTTTTCTGGCAATGTTATTCATTATAATTTCATGGAATAGAGCATTTTTTTTCTACTTGTATTTAATCTCTCTTACGACTGAAATATTTGAAAGATTTCAAAAAGTTTGAAAAACGCTTTAAATATTTTGTCAAAATTCGTAAAAAAAATTATGTCTACTGATGTGATTCAGTTAATAATGTATAACTGTATGCTGCTTGATATAAAAATGTGTAACAAATAACTGCGATTGCCATTTAAATTACAGTAATACTATAAAAATGATTTCTAACAACTAGAGGTACTTGAAAATAAGTTTGAATCAATTACTTTGTAAATTACTTAAGGCACTGTGTACGCTCTTCAAGTAATACTCCTCAATATCAGTGGCGGAATGACTAAGGCAGCTGCTCCGATTAAATATGTAGTTGAACTTCCGAGACTCCAAAATGCTAAAGTAATTTTTATTATGTGTCAAAGTACAATTGATAGCAAAAAAACATTCATCACCCAAGACAAGGAAAAAAAGGGGCATAATTTAGCCCTAAGCTAAAAAAAGACGATAAATTGTCCCCATCGTGGACGCAGACCCGAATTGTCCTTTTCTTTCGCTGATGAACGTAACATAAATATTTCATACCTATCGAAGTAACAATTGGTCCACAAGCTCTGGCTAAAGCTCCCAATGATCTAAATATTCCTGTTATAACCCCTTTTTGGTTTTCTGGTCCAATACTTGTTACTAATGTCATTATACACGTTACAACTATTGCAGTGGCTAAATATTAAAAAATTATTTTTATAAAAAAAAATTTTATAATAATTTACATGAAATGTGAAATACTTACAAACTGCATACAAGAAAATCCCAGTACATAGAACTATTACGTTCTCAGCGAGGCCAATGCAAATAAATGATGGAATAACAAGCCATAAGCCCTACAAAATGTATGTATTGAACAGTGCTGTATGTTTATAGTTTGCATACTTGTCTTATGGAGACTTGATAACATCTTATAATTTATTATTAATACGTACCAGTTCCGTCATTTCTTTTGTCTTGTGCTCCGGTATTCGCCTTACCCAACTGCCCTGTAAAACAGCCATTGTCACACCAATCCCCAAAAACATCCAACCCTGTTGCATTCTTGTAAAACCAAATGCGTAATGCGTCAAAAAGGTGAGGGTGAACTCAAGTCCACTGTAGATGAATAAATAAAAAAAGTAAATTCTTCCTAATTTCCGAAGTTTGGAAAGTTCTGAAAAAATGGATAATTCACAACAAAATGTTCTAGACATTTGTAAAATGAAAAAAAAAAAAAAAAAAAGGTGTACCCAGGACTGATAAACCAGTGGCGCTGTTAAATTGAAACGCATCTTTTGGATTTATATAAGTTAAGGCGCCAGAAATTCCGTGGAGCAGAGATTTTGCTCTTTGATGTACAGGCAAACTTTCCTTCATATTGACGACAACGTAAAACCAATCACACAGTGACAAAAAAAATGCAAACATTGCTGGAAACGCGTACCAATGGCCTTCCCTGCTCCCAATGGATAATCTTGCAAAAGTCGCACCAATCATTGGTCCCAGCACAAATCCAACTGAAAAAGCAACGCCCACCAAAGCCTTGAAAAATAAGTAATGTGATTCAAAGTATGTATTCATATGTATATTTTTTACCTCAACATTATTAATAACTTTTTATGTTTACCATAGATTTCCCTCTAGTTGCGGGTAAAGTAACGTCGCTTATTATTGCCATGGATAAACTAACGTTGCCCTTGCTTATGCCACCTAGTACTCTGGCTAATATGAATAGGCCAAAATTACTAGAAAAAGCCCAGAGTAAGTATGACATGGAAATTCCCGTGAGACACAAAATCATGAGTGGTTTTCTTCCGTAAACGTCAGACAGTGCTCCTACAATCGGTGATCCCAGAAACTGTAAAAAAGAATACAAGGATCCCAAAAATCCTGCAAAAATATACAATTGAATCATGTCATCTGAACAAATTTTAATTTTAATTTTTTTTTTTTAAATTACACATACCTCCAAATAATACTGAATTAACATTGCTGGGTGCATCGACCAGGGAGCCAAAAGTGTGTACTTTTTGTAAAATCATCGAGTACAAGCCTTTGCCGTTGTCAATTTGCTCGTAGTGATCGAGGAGCGCAGGAAACAGTGGTAATATCATTGTGAAAGCCAGCAGGTCCAATAATAAGGATATAAATACGACCCTGACAGTTTTATTGTCATCCCTCTTTTTGTGTTCTTTCACTCTCGTCCCGTTTGAGTTTTTCACAGCCATAGCGACCGGGCCAAGTGCAGTCCTCAATAACAATGGTACGTTTGAAGCGACGAGTAGCTATAAAAATCAAAATACAAATAAGTGTCATACGTCTGGTGTGAAATCTTATGAGAAAAAAAAAAACTCTCTCTACTTGGGAGTAAAATTAAAAAATAATGAAAAAAAAGATTACGTACTTACAGGATACGCTTGTCTTGTCGGTGCGGCTGCAGATTCCTGGCAAATGTATATTATGGCATTTGCGTGGCACATTGATTGATGACCAAGCAGCAGGTAATGTGCAGACGTGCAAAGTCGAGGGTACGTACTTATAATACTCACTACAGACAAGACTCAAGACATAAAAGTGGAAGGCAGACTTTCTCCACATCATCATTCTATAGGTATATACCTCCACGACTACACCTGAGCTGGTTTTACAGTTTTGTCCTATATAATGAGCGTATACTTACAGTTCCCTCGAGTATACGGATTACTTGTAGAGTAGCAATGTTACACTGCAGCAACGTTTAACGTGGAATAGTAAAACTAGTAGCACTTTCAGTATTGCCGCCGTTCTTAGCGAATAATGTGTGTGTGTGTGTGTGTGTGTGTGTGTGTGTGGGTATATACACTATATACATGGTATGTATAAAAGAGTATGGGAATGGATAAAACGATATTGGTGAAAAAAGATTGAGGCATAATTTTTCCGTTGATTTAGATAATAAAATAACAGATTTGTCTTCAATTCTATACAGTAGCGTAAAATATATGATATCGGTTGAATAGAATAGGTTGAATATTAACCTGAAATTTTCTCATTTCAAAAGAAAACAAATTTTGCCCCCGAATTATACGCTGTAGCTCTAACCGTGTTTGTAACAATTTTAAACGCGATCTTTAATGAATCGTTGTTGTTTGGGCACAATACACCTCCTACGTGTAATTATACGTAGAATATTAATATTAAGTATATTAGATAAAACGTATTCTTCGTAAGAGGCGCGGCCTACAGTTACAAGTGTAATTTTTAATTAGCAGCTCTGTTCAATAGGAAAATATAATACTTAAATTGGCTTGATTGTCATTGAACTTGTAATAATAAAAGTAATTTTTATTTGTGGGTCGGTTGAGAAACACTTATCGGCAACACAATTTGAAATCATCTAGATCGATCGCGTAATTCAAAATACAGTTAAGTTATTTACTTACTTAACAAAATTGTTATAACTTATAATCATCCGAATGTCCTCGAGTTTTCTGATTTCTGACCGTTGCACCATCTTGCGCCGAACTAGCGACTATTTTCGCTCTCGTTAATACCTACAACGGGTATTTCGACCTGTGAGAAAAGATAAATGTAAATGTTCTAAAAGTTGACAAATTTATGTTAATTGTACTGATTTTACATTAATGGTTTTATATATTAAAACTTTGAAATCATTTAAACTGAGCAACCAGTTTATGGGGACGTACAATTTTTTATTACGTTAATCATGATGATAACGTAATTGCGAACTCGTAAAATATACTTACCCAAAGTTCTAAAACAATATATCTAAAATAACTTATCAACAAACGCAAAAAAAAAAAAAAAAAAAAAAAAAAAAAAAAAAAAAAAAAAAAAAAAAAAAATTTGAAAGCAACAAATTTATTTGCTCATAACTCAAGTTATCAAGTACACCACTAGCTAGCGCTAAAGCGGCCTTAGGAAAGGAAAAAATTGAAAATACATTCAATCATCATCCCTTCAACGATTAACCGTATCGAATTTTGTTGAAAAAAAGTGATTTACGAAGAAGTGTAAATTACAAGTATATTGTGAAAAGAGACATTGGGTTGTTTGACGAAATAAAAATGTTCAAGTATTAGGTACACGTGATCATCACGTCGTGATGGGGTTGAAAAGGACTAATCGGAATCGAAGTGCCGACGTGGCCCAGCCATCAGTGAAGCGAGAAATAGCTCGAACGAAAGAGAGACGCAGAGAGAAGAAGAAAAAAAAGGTATAGAAGCAAGAGAGGTAGAAAAGAAGGGCGCACCCGCAGGCTGTAGGTATGTGTATGTACGCAAGTTCTCGTGGACTTCCGGCGAGGCCCGAGAAAAAAAGAGAAGCTAGGTATAGCAACAGTCCACTTCCTCGGCCGAACAAAGATCTTTACAAAGCTCTTTCACTCTCCCTCCCTCTCGACTGCTGCAAAGAGCGTCAATCCGAGAAAGAATGTGGAGGGTATAACAATGTGTGTACGTACACCATGCACGCGTATATGTGTATACTCATACCACGTCTATCATTCATATACACGCGAGCTCGATCGTTTTCAAGAGCAATGCAATTTAATACCCTGGCAGACGCATTATTTGTACTTACTGCATATTACTGTGCTCCACCATGGATTATGTGGTGTGCTTTTTTTACTTACGCTGTATGCTTATATTTATACCTACTGCTGTTTTCGTTTATAACTGATATAAAAAAAAAAAAAAAAAAAAAAACAATTGTTCGTCCCGGAAATTTCAGTCATCAGTTTATAGGCATGTGTGTTTTACATCCATTTATCCATTTATGGGTTGTACCAAAATTTTGTCGTTACTAGCTATGATTGGCGGATTAATGAGATTCAATCGTTATCGAGGTAGCAGCCGTAACGTATTGTTTTTTTTTTTCTTTTTCACTTAGAATTTGAAAAATATACTTTTTTTTTTTTTTTTTTTTTTTTTTTCCCCCCCC